AAATAGTCGTCTGATCCTCATGTTGTCACAACAACAAATAATCTCCCTTCTCAGGGTATCCTTGTGCAGAGCAGATCTTCCATGACCATTGAAAGTGGCCTTCCTAATCATATTTTCTTGATCTATTACGTGGATGTATATTTCCAGGTTGAGATACCCAAGCTTACACAATTACGAAGTAAATTTCATTTCTCTTCTATTGTATGTCTAGTGTAAAATAGGCAGTTTTCTTGTTCTCTTGGAATTTTAGCTGAAGCTGAAAGGATAATGGATGGTGTTAAGGATAAATGGATAAAGTTAAGGATAATGGGGTAAGGGGGTGCTAGACATAGCCTCAGAGGATTCACTGAGAGGAAGCCAGGTGGCCATCGCCCATCCCCCAAAGCCTGCTACCCATAGCTCTGCGGTGTTCCTATTTAAGATACCTTGCCAGCACTGTCGTGTCTTCTGCAGGGGCACTTACCCCGGTAGTTTGCCCGGCACCACTCGGCTCACGGGTTGAGCCCCTCTGGCGCTGCAGCCTCATGCCGCACAGGCATTGAGACAGCTCTGCAGCCCGTGTTCTGCTGTAAGTCAGCCCAGGAGGCCAGGGGCATTCGAATAATGCAGGCGGTGGGCCAGACTCATTTATTCGGGGAGGTAGAGAAACCCTGGGAACGATGTCTAGTAAGTACCAGAAAGTGGTGCCCCTCAGCTGAATTTGGCTCAGAATCCTCTTTGTCAGGCACATTGTTTAAAACAGGAAACCTCACCAAAAAGTCCAGTTGCGTTTCTTCTCGTGAGTCATTACTCCCCTCCCAGTGGGTGTGAGTTTTTGCAGTCCGCAGTCTACCCCTTGTCAATCTTACCTTAGCCAGCATGGTCCAGAAAGCATTGCATGTTTTTCAGGGGAATGTCAGGAGACATGCAGCATATGTGATGAGTGGCCGATGCGCACGTAGTTGCAGAAATATAGTTATATAACCAAACCAAACAAACCCTGAGCAGCTAGCTTCTTTATTTGCAGAATGTATGCCCTGCCGTGGGGGACTCCAAATCACTTTACTGCCCACCTCATGCACATAACAAACACTGGAGTTTTACCGTTGAAAGTCACCCCAAACTATCCCAGACATCTCAATTAAGTCAGCATTGTTTTTTTCTCCTCTATCCATATTTTGATCTGCTTGGAGGGTATTCCCAGTGTCCACAGCCGAATAAGTCCTGCTTTCTAGAAAATGAATTGGAATCTGCAGGGTATCCTAAGATGACTCAGCCTAAAATGGCTATGGATCTAGTAAACGTAATCAAGATGCCCTCTCTGATAGCTGAATCCCGATACTCCTGAGTTCAGCTGCTAGATACTAGCATCATAGTAAACAAAGGCGTCCCAGTTTTTGCTTATTTGACCCTGGAAGTGTTAGTCGGAATAGAAAATAATGCCTGTTTTTCAGAGCTAAGGCAAACAAAGTATATTTTTAATACATTTAGAACAGTGTTTTTTTTTTTTAATTGATTTTTACTGGAGTATGGTTGCTTTATGGTGTTGTGTTTCTGCTATACAACAAAGAAAATCAGTTACATGTATACATATATCTCCTGTTTTTAAAATTTCCTCTCCATTTAGGTACCACGGAACAATGAGTAGAGTTCCTTGTGCTATGCAGTAGGTCCTCATTAAATATTTTAATACATAGTATCAATAGTGTACATATGTCAATCCCAAACTCCCAATTCATCCCACCTGTCTTTCTCCCCTTGGTATCCATAAGTTTGTTCTCTACATCTGTGTCTCTATTTCTGCTTTGCAAATAAGTTCATCTGTGTCATTTTCCTAGATTCCACAGATAAACTGTATTATACAATGTTTGTTTTTTTCTCTTTCTTACAGTGCTGCAGTAGACATTGGGGTGCATGTATCTTTTTATGGTTTTCGTCAGGGATATCCAGGAGTGGGATCGTTGGATCATACAGTAGTTCTGTTTTTAGTTTTTTGAGGAACCTCCATACTGTTCTCCACAGTGACTGTACAACCTTACATTCCAACCAATAGTGTGAAAGGATTCTCTTTTCTTCACATCCTCTCCAGCATTTACTGTTTGTAGATTTTTTTGATGATGGCTATTCTAACTGATGTGAGGCAATACCTCACTGTAGTTTTGATTTGCATTTCTCTAATAATTAGTGATGTGGAACAACTTTTCATACACCTATTGGCCATCTGGATGTCTTCTCTGGAAAAATGTCTATTTAGGACTTCCACCCATTTTTTTCATTGGGTTGCTTGGTTTTTTTATATTGAACTACATGAGCTGTTTCTATATTTTAGAGATTAATCTTTTGTCAGTTACTTTGTTTGCAAGTATTTTCCCCCAGTCTGAGGGTTGTCTTTTCATTTTTTTATGGTTTCCTTTGCTGTACAAAAGCTTTTAAGTTTAATTAGGTCCCATTTGTTTATTTTTGTTTTTATTTTCATTAATCTAGGATGTGGGTCAAAAAAGATCTTGCTGCAATTTATGTGAGAGAGTTCTGCCTATATTTTCCTCTAAGAGTTTTATAGTATCTGACCTTAGGTTTAGGTCTTTAATCCACTTGAGTTTATTTTTGTGTACGGTATTAGAGAGTGTTCTAATTTCATATTTTACATGCAGCTGTCCCGTTTTCCCATCATCACTTACTAAAGAGACTTTAGCAAACGCATAGAAGAACTAAAGAGCGAAAGTCATTTCAGTGGTAGGCATATTGGGACTTCCCTGGCATCCATTGGTTAGGACTCCCTGCTTCCACTGCATGGGGTGCGGGTTGTACCCCTGGTAGGCAGGGAATAAGAAGATTCTGCACTGCCACATAGTACAGGCAAAAAAAAAGAAAGATCAACAAAGTTTCCATCACCTACAAGCATGTGGTGTTGCATTTCAGTATTTTAGAAATAATGTTCAAATTTCTGAGTAGGAAATATATATTCAGAAAAAATCATTGAGACCATTGAAATGGGCTCAATATTGACTAACATTCCTTATCCCTGTCTTGGCTCCAGCTTGACTATTTAAAATTCAAAATAGCCATGGGTTTTTCTTTTCATATTATTGATACCTTGGTTTATTTCTGTCCAACCGCTAATTTTTCTATAGTACAGTCTTAGCTTTAAGACTTGAGGGCAAAATTTTTGTTATTTTAATAATTATTTACCACAAACACTATAAAAAGACATGTTACCTTTGACTTTGTGGTTCTGGCCTCTAAGGCTCTGATTGTATCATCTCTTTTTTCTTTAAGCGACATTTTCCAAAATACATCGCCCCACCGTACCATTAAATGAATATTTTTAAAATACCTGTTAGGATTGCCAAGGGAAAAATTTGAAATCTATGTAGACGCCTAAAAAAATGATCACTCTTTATATAGGTTTTAATTGCTTTGGGAAGTCTTACCTTACATAGTGGGCAAAGGTGGGCTTAATTATAATTTAAGGTACTGCCTTGCCTTATATTGTTTTATGTTGGATTGTAGGTTAATGTCTATAAAGTACTTGGAGTTCTTACACAGGGCTAGAGAAATGTATGCAATTATGTACACACCTTAATGAAAGAGTAAATGTTGTAAATATTTTATATAGCACGTGAACTCTCATGAGGAGGATGGCATCTTTATTATCTCTGTGTCTTCTGTCCCCCATGCCCCACTCCCCACCCCTCCCCAAGTGGCTGGTACTTTTTAAACTCATTAAATGTAAGAATTGAAGGGAAAATGTCTCCTATTATTGTTAGCAACAGTATCACTTATAAGAGATTTCCTAAGCTATTCACTTCCCCATCTGGTTTTAACTCTCATCTGAGTATGCTGTCTCTCATTTAAGTGATATTTAGTTTTACACACCTGTAATTATTTGATTGCTAAATTTTATGGTCAACAAGTTGGACATTCAGGTAAAACATCTTGCACATAAAATAGTGTTGTTTCTGTCAGCCGGGGGATATAGAGTCAATATAGCATTTCAGGAGACAGTGACAGTTATTGGTCAAAGAACATTAATCAAGTAACTGAAATGTTATAAAATTGGTAGAAATTACACAGAAACCAGGAATAAAAAGGTTGGAGACTGTCTGTGGTCAGCCTTGTACCTTTTGAGGAGTTTTAGCATTCCTGGAACCATGAATTTAATGTCTCTTCAATTGTGTATGCTTAAGCCCCTTTTTATTACGGGTAATTTTCTGCGTAAAACGATCAGCTAGATAAGCTGTATTTCAAAACTTTTCAATGTCTTTTTATTACATTATCATCACCACGGCCGATTCATTTATGAAACACAAAGCACTCCCATTTGCAGCAATTTATTCTCGTATCAATCTCCCCCCCACCCCCTCCCCGCCAGGATTTGCCAGAACGCCGTCATGTTCGTGTTCTGAAGGTTAATGCCCAAAGTCAAGCAGACAGGAGCCAAGTGCTGCAAGGTTTCCAAGATTAGGACTGATTCCCTTCACAGAAATAAATGATTCCTGCCATGTTCAGTGATTTTGTGCAGCGCTCCCCACGGCTGAGCGAGTGCATCAATACTGTAGTCCTTACCTGCTGCACATACTGATGACACTCGGTGTTAACTTGATTGACTGAGCAGCCCGCTGGAGAGGACGCACCTGCGAGAGAAGTGCAGACACATATATTTTTATCCTGGTTGCGAAACATTTATCTTACATTTCTTTTCTTTGGGAGTCATGGTTTCCAATTCCATGGGCTCTCAAGCCACTGCTCCGGTACCACAAACCTCCACATGCTGTTTGGTTTTCAGAATTCTCCCAAAAACGGTCTCAGGGTCTCTGCCCTCTGCCAAAGCCCGATTTTATGCTTTTGAGGGAAAAATGACAGGAAGGTGATGCTGAAGAGTCTTGACAAATGAGTGACTCTGTGGAATTTTAAGTCTGAAAGGTTCTATCTAGTGATAGACAAGTGGATCATTTAATTCAGTTATGAGAAATCATTTTGACTATATGTTTCTGTTCTATTTTATTATCATGTTTTTGTAGGCTTTGAGGCAGCAGCAGAAGAGAAGAAATGGAGTCTCAATGATGGTAAACAAGACTGTCCCTCGTGTGGTTCTGACACCATTAAAGGTGTCTGATGAGCAGTCGGATTCGCCTTCAGGTAAAGAGCTAAAATATTCTGTGCTTGGCCAGTTACTTCCCGGAGGAGAGTTCCTCACTGAGAGAGAGAGATGTCATGAATTTTCTCTGAAACTGAATACTATTTCCACTTGAGGTTTCATTTAATTTTTTTTTGTTTTTGTTTTTATGCCTTCAACTCTTTCCGTGATTCAAACCTAACAGGGCATTTTGCTCTTAAAAAAAAGCAAAAGCACGTCTTGCTCATCATCACAGGACTCCCATTTGCGAATGTCAGTAGATGTAAGGAAATGTGTGGTACTGCTAGCTGGGTTTCTTTTGCTTTGGCTATTGTGTGAATGCTGAACTTGAATGCTGGACCACATGCTGATGTGTAATGCCATCAAAAGCCGTTCTTCTGTGAGTGTGAATTTGTTTTGCCATCCTCTGCTGCAAAATCTAAGAATCGTTTATTAGTTTTTGTGTTCTGGCAGCATTCTTCTCACCTCAGCGCAGCCCTGACCTTTTCTTCTAATTTACCTTCTGTCACTTTTTCAGCTATGTACCATTCTATTTATTATAGATTGATGTTTGCGTTTTCTCTTCCTGCTTCAACGTAGTTATTCATAGAGGCATGATCTCTCCCTCTCTTCATCCTTCATCTTTCTGTCTTGGCCTTGCATCGTCTCCAAGTGGCATAGTATTGTTGAAGTGTATTCATATATTTTCACAAAAGATCTGAGTGTTTCTTTTAAAAGCTATCAGATCAGTGAATGTGTTTTTGACTCCACTATTAGGCCATCTGTTCTTGCTTTTTGTTCTGTTTGATTGATTTATTGGACTTTTCTCTTTATATCCAGTAGAGGAATCAGATTGTGGCCAAAGGCAGTGTATTAACTCTTAGAAAAGGAGATTATATCTATGGTTGGTAAAACAATTTGAGATTTTTCTTTTCAAGGACAGCAAGAGGAAGATAATGACATAATAACTATTTCCTCTTTTAGGATCTGAATCTAAAAATGGTGAAGCAGACAGTTCAGATAAAGAAATGAAACATGGGCAAAAATCTCCCACTGGAAAACAAACAAGTCAGCACTTAAAGCGATTAAAAAAGTCTGGTTTAGGTGAGTGTTCAATTGACTATAACATTTCTCATTTTAGAGATTTAAATCTTGTTGAATGAAATAATAGGAACTTTCTTTTAATAGTTAAACAGGAAAATTTTAAATCTTCCCAGTTTATCTAAACCAAAAAAAGCTGCTAAATAAGGCAACATACTACAATGGAATGATTTTAAGCATGTTGCTAAATTTGTGAATGATATTGTTGGACGGAGCAGAGGCTAAAGATAAGGGATTTAAAACGATATATGCATTCAAGTAATTATCTGCCAAGTCATGATTCAGTCTAGTATGCACTGTTTTGTTCCTGCTACTGGGTTTCACTTTATTGGAATACACTGTACTGGGGGGAGGGGGGAAATGCAACTTTTATAAAGTGTTCATGGAACTAAAGAGTACACTGTCGGGATACGCTGCAGTAAAACTACTCTGTCTTGCTTTTCATCTTATGCTGCTTGAAATATTCAGTAGTGCTTGTCTGAAAAACAGTGTACAATTGCTGAGAAGTGTGGGAGACATACATATTGGGTCCTGCAAGTCAGCCCCAGTTTTCTTCTGAAGACTTCCTTCCTGATAACTTTTCATCAGGAAATCAACAGCAGCATTAGAGGGAAAAGAAATATGAAAATTGAAAAAGAGGAAAATATACATATCCTAGGCTGAACATTAAAATTCTAGACCAAACCTTCCCTGTTGGATGTCTGGGCCTAATGGCTTCATTTCTCTCAGTTATTTTATCTCTGAGTAAGGGTAATGATCATTGTAACATTTTGTAAAATGGTTGGTAGAAAGTACAAATTTATTGACCTGAACATTATTACTGGTTCTGCCACTTACTTTCTTGGCAACTTAGGGTAATTCTTATTTGCAGAGTTTATTTGTTTATAAAATTCGAGCAAAATTTTAACCCATGTGTTTATCAATTGAGTAAAGGTTTATTGATTGCCAACTCTATACCAAGATTTTGTTAAATTCTGGGAACATGTTTTCAGTAAAGGCTTTATAATAGGGTTTAGATAGCCTTATATCAGAGATCTTTGGAAAAACAGAATTTATTTTTGCTTCAAATTCTTTAAATATAGCATAATTATCTTTTTCTTTGTTTTCAAGGCCAAATCATTTTATAGTTATTGTCTGGGCCCATGTGTAAGTTAGTGTATAACCATACCTACATATATATTGACATTTTCCCCCTAATCTTTGAGTTTTCTAAAGTATTTTAAGTAGCTTATGAAGTTGAAAAGTGTAATGGGAGAGTGATATGTAAAGAATATCCTAAAAAAGAAACAAGCCCCAAAAACATCGTGTTATGATACCTTAAGTAATTAAAAAGTTAGTAAGCGTCTGTTAAATCTGTGTGCTACCAACCTCAGGAAAGTCAACACCATATCATGAGTTTAAGAAAATTCAAGGCACAAGGACCTCTTCATTTCTTTACTTAGCTGCCTTCAGGGGTGGGAGGTCAGCAAGGCTTGTCCTACTCATATCAGGATCCTGTCAGATGCTGAAGTCTTCAGTCAGGATCTCTTGTTTTAATTGTCATAACCTAGGAATCCTGCATGCCACTAAACATCTTATACGTAAGCAAAATACAGTAAAGGTATTTTGGCTCCTTTGCTAGCAAATTTAAAAGGCGATAAAGGAAACCACCATGTTCTTTTTAACCTGCTTTTTGTTGGACTACAAAGTACTAGAAATAATGAAGCTACTTTAAGGAAGGAATGGAAAAGTAAAATCTTACCCACTCCCTGTATTTAATGCAGTGGTTTAGGTACTGAGGGGCTTCCCTGGTGGCTCAGTGGTAGAGAATTTGCCTGCCAATGCAGGAGACCTGGGTTCGATCCCTGGGTGGGGAAGATCCTCTGGAGAAGGAAATGGCAACCCACTCCAGTATCCTCACCTGGAAAATCCCATGAACAGAGGAACCTGGCAGGCTACATTCCATGGGGCCGCAGAAGACTTGGACATGATTTAGTGACTGAACAACAACTAGATACTTTGCCATGTTATCTCATTTACTTCAATTATGTACAGCAGGATGATTTTTATTTTGCACCTGAATAAACTGAGGGCCAGAGGGTGAAGGAGGTTGTCCATAAATGACATGGCTAAAGATACAAGCCAGGGGCCGGCTAGCTCCCAACATCTAAACTGTTGTATGGGGATATGTTCTGAATGTCTAGTCTACCTAGACCTGTGGGCACCAGTGAAAAGCAGCATGGCATCCACGGTGTGGTGAGCCTGCCATGGGCGTTAAAATGTAGGGACACTAGTTACACATATAGGGAGAGCCAGCAACTGACGGGTTTGCTGGCTGATCCTGTAAAATCAGACAGAGGAAGAAGGTGGGATTTAAAACAAGTCATTTAATGTAAAAATCTATCCAAAGTTACCTGAAGTTGATTACTGGGAAGGAACTCTGACTGACTGACTAACTCAGCAACCAGCTGAGTACAGTGGCTTCTTTTGTGCAAATGAAGTTGGTAGTACTGATTAAGCCTCCAGTGTATGCCCAGCACTATAAAATGATAAGTGAAAACATGTCAAAGGAAAGTAAAATGGCCTTAACTGTAACCATCTCCAGATAGTATCCCATGCCTCTTTTAGGAAGTGATGTTTCTGATGTTCCGTGACCTTAGGGATCTTTTAGAGTAAAAGATTCTGTGTGCTGTGCAACATTTTAGAATCAGGATGGTGTTTTTTTTTTTTTTTTAGGATGGTTTTATTACTTCGTATATATATATGTGCATTTTGCTCCCCAGTCTTTGCCGTGAAGTTTTTACTTCCTTAGAAACAGTGACTTCCCATCTATCTTTGTAGTACTTTTTGCACCCACTATATCTCTCTCATTTAGTAGGTGTTGAATACGTTTTCAACGAGTTATTTATAAGTAACAGGATGGCAAGTGTATGTCTTGATGAGTGAGGCATCCTGTAGTTTTCTGCAAGGTAGGGTAGTTACTTTTATGTAGTTGAATAAGAATGACCCTGTGCTTCTTGGGGAATGTCTTTCTTTGTTGAACCGACACAGGGTGAATGCAAAACCAGATGAGCCCTCCCATCTCCTTAGCCAGCCAGCCTGAGAGTCATCTGCTTCTCCTACCAGTTAGACATCTATTTCACACAGTTTTAGAAATGTAACTTTAACCTTTTGTCTTCTCTATGGAGAGATAGCTATATAAGTCCTAGCCTGTTGAAATCATTCTGAATGAAAATAAATGCTCTAAGTCTATTCTACCACCTTCAGCTGGTAATTCTGAAATTAAATCCAGTCCAAATTAGACTTCAGACTGTTAAGTGTAGAGTTTGATCCTCATTATTAGATTATCCTAACAGGACATAAGATACTCCTAGTCATCCCTGAATGCTTCCTTTTGGTCTTTGGCAATTACTTCATTTGTCCAATAGCGGAATATTCACCCTGTCCAAGGTAATAGGTTTCAACAGGATCTTGGAATCTAAATGTATGTAGCCCAGGACACAATGAATCCCAGTGTCTCCCGAGGACCCTGCAGTAAAGGACAGGCCGCAGTACAACCGTCCTCGGGTTCCTTCCCAGGGCAGCTTTCTGGGGAGGGTTAGGAGCACACATTAGTTGTGTGGTGGTGGTATAGTAGTAGTAGTGATGGTATTATAGTAGTAATAATAATAAAGCTTCAGTGTCCCTCAGCTGTTCCAGTTCTGATAGTGATCTTAAAATTCTTATGAGAAGTATTGATACATCACTCAGCTTGGGAACCCACTACTTTTGGCATAGATTTCTTTTTCTTTTTTCTGTTTTATCTTATTTGTTCTTGGCCAGGGTTCTGTATAAAAATTATAAGGCTATTTTCTCTGAGTAACTCTCTGGCTGAGTAGACATAGTAACGTGGGTTACTCTGAGTGAATGCAGTTGAGAAAGAAAATGGATCTAAAGAGTATTTCTCTGATGACGTTACATTAAAAAACAAAACCTTGTTGGTCCCTCTCCCGTTTCTGAATCATGCATGGTAAAAAATACTAATCTGACATGCATGAAAACAAACTTAACAATATCTACAAGGGCTCTTTTATTATCTCAGGGCTTGAAAATTAGTATAGTATTAGACCACCAAATAACTAGGTGGAAAAACCACATCAGTGAGATGTAAGGTAGGCTCTGACTGAAAATGGAGTTTAAAGTATGTGGGGTTTTTTGCCTAATCAGTTGTTTTAATGTCCTTTATCATTATCTTATTGGTGGTTTAGTCGCTAAGTCATGTTCAACTCTTGTGACTCCATGGGCTATAGCCCTCCAGGCTCCTCTGTCCATGGGATTTCCCAGGTAATAATACTGGAGAATGTTTCCATTTCCTTCTCCAGCGGATCTTGCAGACCCACAGATCAAATCCAGGTCTTCTGCGTTACAGGCGGATTTTTTTACTGATTAAGCCACCAGGGAAGCCCATATCCTTATCTTAGCAAAGGATAAAACTCATATGAAACCTCACCAATGGAGTTTTCTGAGAGATGGATTATGAAATTTACAAAAAATTATTAATGATAATCTTTCTTACCACTTTTTTTTGGTATTAATTTTTTGTATATTTCCATAGCTGAAATGAAAGTTCCTTGAATTAGAGGTTGTTGACCTATACCATTTATAATTATGCTTCATCCTAGTCACACAGTAGGAGTTTAAAAAGTGCTTGCTAAACAAAATCAAGTTTCTAATGGATGTCTCTGAGGGGATTTTAATAAATGTCCTCGCTGAGCCCAACTTCTGGGATTCATTCCAGTATATTTTATTTGGTTTAATCTTTTAGTAGTGAAGAATTACAACTTTGCTGGTTTCATAAAATGTTACATATTTTTAAAATAAATTAATGCAGGAAAGTAAAAAAATTGAATAGTAACCCGAAATCATGTCATCAGCAATAACTTTCCCTGTTTTATAAATACTATTTGACATCTCCTAATGGGTAGCCATAGTCAGAGGTCATTTTAGAAAAACTGAATTATACCATTTTAATTAAAAATACTAAA